CGTGTCTCCGGATAATTTCTCCGCGGTAACTTCACGCGCGGCGAACCGCGTCGGAAGCGGTCGGATAACAATACGCTGTCGCGTGGCTTCTTGCTTCGAATACCTCGCACGGGGACTAAGACGGTCGGTAAAAGCGAAACCACTGTTCTTACTGGCGCTACTGTACCCTGCGAAGAGATACCGTCCCGTCGATATCGCGCGACTACTCTTCGCTCCTCGTTTACCACTTATCAAGACGAATTTCACGGAGATAAGAACAACATCGGGAAGCTATGCGCGAGCATCGGAGCGAGAGTTCGTTATCTTTCTTCCTTCCACTCCCTCCCCCTTTCTCTTATTCCTTTGGTCATTGTCATCGATACCAATGCGAACAGCACTCGATTAATTATCACACATGAAAAAAAAAACAATACATATGGTTCACATAACCAGAAATATTTAATTGTAAGTAACACAGATGCATTACCTTACTTATCTCTGTGTGATAGATATGCGTATGGTTGATGCGACTTATTATTTTGGTGTGTCATTTATATCAAGATGCGCGTGAATTCGTTATGGCAACCAGAACTTGGTGGGGAGGGCCATACTGCAAGGCAGCGATGTTAGGAAACAAAGGTGACTGTTCTGGTACCCTGTAAGCGCGTAATATTCATCGAATATTACGTGAATATTATTCAACGTTAAAATAATATTCCTAATATTCTGAGAATGTTCTGTAATATTGTTTATTATTATATAGTTGCTATCACGGCGGCGCGCTTCCCCGACAGTCTCGCTTCATGGAGAAATCCCCCCGCCGCCGTTGCCGCACGTGTATTTGGCAGCCCAGCCCGTTTCTTTTTTCTGGGTTTTCTTTCCTCCCCCCTCCTTCGTTCTCACGTGCGACCGATCGTTTCTTCGAGACGAGAGCACCAGCGCGAGAAATGTAATCTCGAGAGACGGGAGACGAGCAATTTCGAAAGTTCCCGGACAGCGTGCGAAACACCATTGTTAACCGCCTCGGCATTGTCAAACGCCACCCTTATTCCTTCCTTATCACTTCCTTCGGCATATTCAAGCAGTATCGTTCGCTTACGATACATACATCGAAGAGGGAGGGAGAGGAGGAAAGAGGAAGGGGAAGAGAGCGATATCAGATATTTCGGCGGAAATTGACATTGGGGACACGGCGAGAGCAACGGGAACTTCTCAAGCCGAGGAGATCCGGATTCAGAGATGTGTTTCGACAATTCAATAAAACCGCGAAAAACGGCGCGTAAAATAAGGACGGGTAGGGAGAATAAATTTTCAATCGCCTCCCGTCGCCCCCCCCACGCAGAGGGAGGCCGGAGGGACGATCGATTTTTAAGGAAGCGCAACGCTCAGTGCGCGTTCGCGGGTTAATGTGCAGCGCACATTGTTCGATAGCTGGACGCTAATCGCAACGGATACACGCTAATATCCGAAGGCCGGTCAAGCCGATATTGGAAATCAATTATCTAACTGATGAGACACCCTCCCCCCCCCCCTCCTTCCTCGTATGCAAGTCATGTGCGTGAAGATATTAACCCGTTACACTTTCTCTCTCTCTCTCTCTCTCTCTCTCTGCGATGGAGCCCATTAAAGGTTCGGTCTTCGCGTCGGTTGACGATTTAATGTCAGTTGGCCGACGCGAAGACTGAACCTTTAACGGGCTCCATCGCAGAGAAGATAGGAAAGTAACTCGACGTGAATCCTCTCTTCTAAAAAAAGCGTGTTAAAAAATATCTCGAAATATCGAAATGGTAAAGCCTCTTTTCCGCGATGCTGACTGACTGTCTTGAAATCTCGATGTGTGTGTGTGTATGTGTGTGAAGACCGTGGCTTACTTCAATTCGTGACTGTCACGAACTGTCATCCCGGAGGTTACGTATTTAAAAAAAAAAACGTTACGTGTTACGTTACGTGTTTTGTAAAGAAGAAAAAATAGGAAAAAAGGGAATGGAGGAAAAGAAATAAAAAGGGGGGGGGGGGAGAGAGGGATGTATTTATATTATTTATGTATTTTCAAATTATTATTATTGTATAATTATTTATATTGTCGGATATCGTAGTTTTGTTATTATTTACGAGTCAATTATACGTGTTAAACAATTTATTTATATCTCATGTTTTAATCATAGTGACATCTTTACTCTTGATACCTCGGGTCACAATTTAACAGGATAATGAGTAAAATACAAAAAATAAAGGGACAAAAAGAAGAAAATAAATAAGAAAAGAGTAATAAATAATATAGAAGGGAGATAAAAAAGAGCAATACAAAGAAAGCAAGATACGTATTTATTATATTGTTGACTTGTAAAGAAATAATTGATAATTATTCAGTTTAAGAGACCCACACATCCAATAACCGTGACCTTGACATATATAGTAGAGGTCAACTTCCTGAGTAACCTTCAGAAGGTTTCAGCTGTCATTCATTATTTATCTATTAAAAAGTCATTAACAAATGTAGTTTGAGAAACGTAACACTTACTCTCAATCCTGGAGAATATAATTTGATGTAAAAATGATGATGTACAGGTGACCATAAGGGAGGGACTTCTCTCCTCCCCGTTGGTTAACCTAACCTAACCTAACCCAAACCCACCCTCTCCTCGTCAATAAAAGTTGCACTCAAGTTCTACTCTACTACTACTAGAAATAAGATAATTTCTTCGTCAGATAGAAAATTGCTATTTCTTTGGGTAACTTCGAATTTGCGTAAAGTTACAGCTTTTACTCTTGAGGAGAGGGTGGGTTTGACTTCAGTTAAATCAACCAGCAGGGAAGGGCGAAATCTTTCCCCCATGGATGGCCACTTGTACCTGTACATCATACAAAATTTTGTATCAATCACAAAATTACATGTCATATTGATAAATTCGTGCAAACGCATGTTGAAAATGTAAGAAATTGTCTTGAAATTGTCCAACTGATTGGCACACAGTTATACGCTATACTATTAATAACAGCAGAGACTATCAATAGCAAACACACATCGAGCAAGAATGCTTACCATATTTGATCGAAAAAATAAAAAAAAAACTAAATCTTAGCTGTAGTGAATATTTACATAGCATGCATCACATATTTACTTATTGGACATACACGATATCAGAAAGCTGTGCGTTTTATGTATGAAACTTTTTTACTAATAACTTTTCGGATTTTTTCTCATTAATAATGTTTCGGAAGATTGATTTAATCTTTCTTGCTTATTGGAAATACATGTAAAAATTAGGTTCAACGATGATCCGAAATCGCCGAAGTGCGCGGAAAAATCGGAAGTCCATCGATATTCGATATTCTCGAGTAAAAATTGCAAGAGTCGCGGACTTGCGCTCCGAATTACATCAGTTTCTCGATTATGCAAACCGGAGGCACGTCCCGCTACTTTCGCCGAGGGGGTTAATCACGAGGGGGTTAAAATGCGAGGATGACGCGTACAAGTCGAGAGGGAAACGCGAATGACATGCGATGGTGCGTCGAATATCGTCCCTTACTTATCGGCGAAGAGAATTACGTTTGCGTAAATAGGGCAGCGCGCTTCCGTTACATTTGAGTCCACCACCCGCGTTCCCCCCGCGTCGATTTAATTATCGTCGAAAGAGAGGCGGGGGGGG